CCAATTGGTATTCCAATCCGAGGTATCTGAAGGGGTCAGGGTATCTTTTATAATTTTGTCTTTCTGCCGTCTTGTTGATCTTTTCGTCTTGTACATCATTTTGTTTAGCAGTTTTCGTAACATCGTGGAGGGTTGCATCACAGCCATGTTCTTTCGGGTCATTGTTAACGTGTGTAGTTGAAGATTCCTTCGGCTGGCAAATATCTTTGTCGGATGCTGCAGAATTGTTAGTCCTCAAATCTTTTGACAAATTTTCTTTACGTCCAGAAAGTAGAATCCCGTCGATAGTAATGAATGGCATTTCAAAGCAGAGGCTCCATAACACGGACGTTATCATCGAGAACATTAAATTGGCAAAGAATGCGCGCATCTGATAAATAAAAAATTTTATTTATTGCTTGTCTTTTCTTAAATTATATTTGTGCTTTAATTTAATTATGATTCATGCAATATCTCGCAATTAAACTAAAATAAGCAGAGGCTAATGTAATTAATACGTTAAGCACATATATTACATAAAATTTACTTAAAATAAAATGTAATAATGCAATATAAATGTTCGGTAAAATATTTTTCATGCATAAACATATATAAATATGTATATAAACATGTATAAACATGTAGAAATATTTTCTTTCGTAAAATTACTTTTTAGTGTAATAAAAATAACAATAATAACAAGAAAACATAAAAAATAATTAAAGAGATAATTTTCGCATTATTTGTTTTAGAAAAAATTAAGTTTGGAGAAATGTAAAAAAAATTGTTCATATATAATTATGTGTAATTTTATATACAACTATATGTGAGCAATTCTGTTACATTTCTTCAAATTTGATTTTTTTCTAAAACAATGCAAAAATTATCCTTTTAATTATATAGATAGTTTCTTCTTATTATTATTATCACTTTAATTGTCCTGTTACCTTTGTTGCAATATTTTAAGAATGTTTTTATTTTTCTTGCTTACCACGTTCATTTGTGTTAAATTGCCGGTAGTTCGAGTAGCCCCAGCGTATGATAGTATGAACAGATAATGACAGAGATAAGCACAGTAGCTCAACTTGCCAAGCGGTAACCATCCACTCCAAGAAAGTAAATAATTGATGGGACCTTGAAATGATTATCACTTTTAAAAACTGCAGTTGACATAACTCGGTTTGGTAATTATCTCGCGTACGCGTGCAATGATTACCTGCATATCCGTATATGCAGCAGAAGATGATCCAGGAAATCGAGAGTACAAAAATCTGTCGATGAAAACCGGCGTAGAAACTCGCCTCTAATCTGTTATATACGTAAGTGTCGAAGTACATGTACCGTGGCCAGAAAATCATCGCGAAACCGGCCACAATCGCGAGCAGCCAACCGCAAATCACGTACCGCTAAGTATGGCGAAAGCAATTTAGCAATTTTGTAATGGTTTATTTTATGATTTCTTCAAATTCAAGATATTTAAATATGTATATTATTTCTCAAAATATTAATGTATAAAGTATATAAATATAAATTGTAGAAACAATATTTATGAAGCTACTTGTAAAATATTTTGACTTTAATCTGCTTTATGTTGATTATTATAAGAGAGAGATAAATTAGTTTTGTAATTAAATATTAAATAGATGATGATTAATATTAAATATTACACAAAAAAAGTATGAGAGTAAACATAATTGTGTGAAATATAATTATTGTGTGAATAATACTTACTATGCGTAATTTGACATTGTAAGATCGCATCTTATATATAAAGTATCCTAAGCTTACTCCAATGAGGTAAGAGCCAAATCTATTATATGTCTTCGTATAGATCTTCAGATAAACTTGAGCTAAATCCATCGGTCTACAAAACACAACATCCTGTTGAGATTATGAAATTACTAAAATCCGGCAATCAAAAAATTTTGTGTAATTTCCATAGAAATGCAATTTTCATAGAAATTAACATCACGTAAGTAATAATCTTGTAGGATCTTTTACAATTATTTAATTATTTAATTGATTTTTGAAAACTTGGATAATAAAAAAGGATCCACTGAGTGGATGAATCAAAAGCTTATAATAATAAATGTTAAATATATAAAATATATTCAAAGTAAAAATTACGCAATTAATTAAAATTAAATAATTGAAAGAGTGCCATATAAAACTAGATAAACGAAATGATAAATAAAATAAGGCTATTATATTTAAACCTTTTTGAAAAAAAAAACAAAGAAAAACAGATTTTTTAAGATATTCAAATTACAATTTTTAATTAAATAACAAAAGCGAAATTGAAATTCTACACTTACTCCTTATAATAGAGCATGGTGCCCGTTAATTGATAAACATAAGTTATAACGAAAGGCACTAAGATCGAAAGAAACAAGTAGACGGCCAAAACAATGGCAAAGAACACAGTCTTAAATTTGAGCATAGGATACAGTATAAACGGTGATAGCAAAACAAACTGCATATCGGTCGATAGGTACCAGGACTGGGACATACACTAGAAGCAAACATAAAAAAAGAGTGATGTCTTTGCAAAAATGCGCAAATCTGAAAAAATTCAGAAAGCAATGTAAAGTACAAAATTAGCACTTAGTATGTAAATTTAGTAAATCCAAAGTAAAAAGAAAAAAAAACGAATAAAATAATAAGAATATTATGATAAAAGAATATGCGCAGCATAGACTTCAAGATACGTCATATTTATCGTTTCTACAAAATAATGGTTAATTATTGTTCAATATACGATTGTATTTAATATGATAAATAATATGCAAAAAATGTAAATTAAATTCAATAGCTATTCTACCATGTTCGGTACATTAACAAAATTGTTAATATAGAGCAGGTTGGTCCACCAATTTTCACGACAAAACTTTTTGTTAGAGCCGACCCAGGTGTCCCACTGCAGGCCTGTACCAAATTTGTCGAATAGAGTGCCATAAAAACCAATCATCATCGCGTAGGGCGGTGTTACTCTGATAAAAGAAGAAACTGTCTTAATGAATTTGAAGAAATAAAAAATAAGTAAAAAAAAAGGATATAGATTAAAAATATTATGGAATATACTGAAAGCTTAAATTGCGAGAAAAGTCGATTCGGCTGTGTATACATACCTTATATAACGATGAACACAAAGCCCTATAATATAATAAATACAGTGGATACGCCAGTTTGAGCCGGCTCGTTCCTTCCTTAACAGTTCGTTGTAAGCGAGTAGCATCCCACTCACAAGGAAGAAAATATCCGTGGCAATGTTGCCATTGAGCACAAACATGTTGTTCCAATAGTTATGCATCTTTTTTGATAATAAAAATATTTTTATAATCGAAAATGATTAAGGTTGACAGAATTTGAAGAATTAAAAGAAAAATTAAAAACAATGCGATTTTTAACTATACTTATATGTATATAAGTACATAGTTCTCTGTTTCTATAATCTTGCTTCTAAATACATTTTCCAGTTCAATTCGTCAAATTGTATGCCGAACACAGATGAACGTTATTTCAGTTTTAATTTAAAATTGCTTTTCCAAGACTAGCTTTATTCAACGTGCAGTTTGAAGAATTGGAAAATCTATTTAAAAATTTACAAAGAATTATTTTTAACACTAAGATCTAGTTTCGTATTTAGCATTTTACTTATTTGATTTATTCATATAATAGTCTATATAGTATAATTATTAGATATTGTTAAAATTGTATAACTCACATGTGGAATCTGTGTGAGGTCCATTTTGTTACTAACAGCCTCCATGTAATAAGTATGACCGTAAATGACCCAACACATGCTGATGCAACGTAAGCCATATAGACAGAGAATAGAATCCTCACGTGTGTCTGTAGTTTGCAACAGCTTTTTCCCATTCTTGTACATAGAAAATGCCATAAAAATACCTACATGAGAAATCATTATTATCAAAATCGTTATCATTAGTAATCTCTGGATAATATTGCCTTAAGGGAACACAATATTTACAGTAAGAAATGCAGATTAATATTATAGATTACATGTAGATAATTCATAATTAATATTATTAATTACTAATTATTAATAATATTTATTATTAATGATTAACATTATTTAGATGATTTTTTTAATCGCATCTTTTTTTCTTTCTTAATAATCAGTTAAAATTAATTTTGCAAAGCTTAGTAATCAACTTTATTAATTTAAATTTAACTTAACTTTATATGAAATATAAAACTATATATTTTTTTAAAAGAGTAAATCTAAAGAATAAATATTTTTATATTTTTATATATATCCTACTTTTCCATTTCGACGTATTAGTCTGCTGTTGTACTACGACATCATATCCCGTGCTGGTAATAGCGATCAATAAGAGCAGTATAAGAATCGATCTAAAAAATTTTCAAATATTATACAAATTAAGTGTATATTACTTGCAGAAAAGTAAATGTTTATTTGATGATGAGAGAGTTTTATTTACGTGTAACACCAATCGACAATGTCCCAAGTTTTTCGATCAGTTTCCACGGTGTGACATGATTCCTTAGGAACGTTGATAGTCATATCCACACGCCCTGCGATTTTCAAAGGGTCGAGTGCGATTTCGAGAAACTCCTGTACCTCCATATGATTGCAGGTGGACGGAACACAAAACATCCACTCGTATACGACTGAGTTGCCGAAACTCCAGTGTGTCGCATTCTACCTCACAAGATATTTATATAGTATTAATCCTCTAAACAATGTAAATTTACGCAATATTTTAAATAACTTAATTAATTTTTTATTAGGAAACAAGAGGAAACATGCACTCATACTGCTTTGCCTAATTAATAAGCATTCTTTAAAAAGTTCACAGATTCTTATTAATTAAAACTGATTGTCTAGTTCTTGCCTACTCCTTGTTAGATCAAAAGTGTTTATACGTATTTAAAAATTAAAAACGATATTTATCCTTATTTTCATTTAATTCTTTTTTATATTCTCTAATTTATTTATATGCCTGGCGATAGATGTAAACTGGACAGTTTACTCGCATGAATTGTTGCTGAACCAGTAATTGCAATAATACGAACTCACCGATGCGGTTGCAACATTTACGAGCAGATCCCCCAGGTCCAATTCTTCTCGTGGTGTACCGTGGTCTGCGGAGATCTCGAATTGTACTGCGACGTTGCAAGCCTGTCCGACGAATCCGTGCTCGTTCTTTACTTGCAAGCATTCATCAAAATTACCCAGTTGTCTATAATTGCCAGTGATCAAACCTGATGCTATTTTACCTGAAGCGTCGAACACTGAAAAATCAAAGAATGAATCTTTGTTTAATCAATGTGCAAATTTCTTTTAGCTCTTGAATGAAAATTCGAGTCATTATTGCGATTTTCCTGCAACATAACACACATATTTTAATCTCTAGAATTTCTAGAGAATGTTTGAGAAGAGGACGTCTGTATGATAATATAAATACTCGAATAAAATGCTGTAAAATGTACAGGATTTATTACGATCTAAAGCTTCAGTGAGAAAGGGAATACGCTCATTTGCGATATATTGTTTTGCGAAGCTTGCTACTATCAATCTGCTATCGATGCATCTTATTGTTGCGTTTTTCTGGACATTTACGGCATTCCGGCTTTGACATTTAACACGCCCTTTCTCTCGTTTCGTTTAAATAAGCACATTCTGAAACCGGTTAAAACAGATGCAGGTGTAGTCAATGCGTCAAGGCGTTCTTCTGTCCTCAATCCACGATCAGCTAGCATCATTTTTTCACATTACCCTTCGAATATCCGGAATTATTACCGCAGACCCGGAGAATAATGATTTCTGGAAGACTGATATCTTAAACTCAGTATAATCTTTAATAATCGTTTATCGAATGCTGTGTCCTCAGAGTGCAACGTAAAGTATTGTGATTTATTATATTATATTACTATATTATTGTATATAAGAAGTCAAATAAGTTTTTTTTTCTTTTGCTAAAGTTACATTGAAGTTAATGAGCTGTAAAATTAGCTTAATTATGTTAAAAGTTACATAAACAAGGACTAACTTATTGTTAGTTACAAGTTAAATTAACTTAAGCTAAATGAAGAATTAATTTTCAAAAAGGCATTATTTAAATTAAATTAACATAATTACAATTATTATAATTTTTATGGAATATAATATAAATATAATATTTTATTTGTAAATTAAGTTTATATAAAGTAATAGAGAAGTATAGGTTTCTAGGAAAAAAAAAATATATACGGTTTTCCTTTAGCATTATGTATAGCAATAAATTAGTGTAAATAGGATTTATACACACAGACGATTTATATGTCATTGATTATTATGTACTACTACATCAATATCTCATGCACGCATACACATAAATGTTCGTATAACATTTTAATTAGACATCTAATTCATTTCTAAGAACTCCATGTTGTTTCTTGGTGCAAACTACTAGTCTGTAGATTACTATTTCGTAAGTACGGATTGCCTAATATTTATATGAAGGAAATATTGTCACGTCGCGACAGCTTTAGAGCGCCATATTGAACTAAGAAATGATAAAGAAGATTTCGATTTCGAAATTTTTTACCGTTTTTGAAATAAATTCCACCTAATAGACATATAATGCATATGCTTTAATTCTGGAAAAGGATTTTCAAATCAGTAGGAGAAAAAAAAATAATTATTATTCAAAAATTATAAGATCGGTAATACAGATGACTGTAAGATTCCCTTAAGTTACGGGTTATTAAATTTTTAACTTTATTGTTCAACTCTTACCTTTTTAACTAGTTATCATTCAATTTGTTGTTATGACACATATCTAAATGTGAATGTAAGATTGTAATAGAATACAATTCCTAGTATAGTCTTTTTATTATAAAATTTTTATAAAAATCTTATTCTTTTCTTGCTCTTTCTTCTCATAATTAATATATACTTGATTTAAAAATTAAGATTTATCGATTCTATATATATAATCTTCATCTTTATGTATGTACGTGTTCATTTTTCTTTAATAACAAACGAAGCAAACAGACTTGAGAAAAAAATTTTTGTATACGAAAAAAGAAATTGCGTATGAGCAATTAAATCCTATATATGATGGAATATATATCTCAGCAGGAACAAGCAGTGCGTTGATCAAAGTCACGTTCAGTTCTAGGAGGATAGCAATAAACTATCCAACTACGCGTTGAGAGAACCGCGCATTATATTCTATATGTACATTATTAGTATGTGTACATTGGCGAATTATACTCAGAGATTTCAAGGTGATTTCCTTGGAACCGTGATTACGCTGTGACGCAACGTCAATGTCGCGAGGGCATTAACTGCGGAAGTACTTATGTGATACGATACTAATAGGTACGCAGAATCATATACGGGAAATCGCGCGTTGCAAAAATGATTTGACCAAGTCGAAGGAAAATCATACGTTGGACGATAGCGCATTCAATTTTAAATGCCCGAACGATAGCGATAGCGTGCAGATTGCACGATATCGATGATAATTCAATGTATTCCCGATTGATTCTTGAACATAGAATCATAATAAGTCAAAGATATTATCTATTAATATTATACTTTAATTGCCAAGCTGATTTCAGCATTGACAACTGATTTCGGTATTGAGTCTAATAAGTTAAATGTAGTATATATTATTTGAACATTTTATTGCTTTTTTTTATATCTTTATATAATTTGTATTATTTCTTTAACACCTTAAATTACTTATAATTAGTAAAATCATTTTGAATCTTAAAAATGGTAAATAAAACCTACGATTGAATGACGAAGATTTTACAGGTCTAGATATGGATGATATGGCAGTCAAAGGATGTTAATGTAATAATGCAAGTTATTTTATTTCTAAAATCTCTCCATCTTTATATATAGAGAAATCTTTAACGTATTTATGAGAATTCCCCTGTCGTTATCCTCGCGTACTCAACCGATCCTCTTAACGTTATATAAACAATAGCTGAGGAATCGTCCTAATTGGATTGGCGATTAAGCCAGGAAAAGATCGATCGATCGATCGACTGATCGAAGGCAGTATATCTATGATACACAAGGACGGTCGTCAGCCTCATGGATGCATCTTGCTGACCTAGTTTGGTCTCCGCGTACGACGCATGTATCAATTACATCGGCCAATATATTATTGTTTCTATGCGAATATACATGCGGTAGAGCATTAATTATTATTTTTTTCTTAACGGTGTGTTGTTGCAAAGCTGGCAATACTCGCACGGTAATCGCCAAATTAATAAGAATTAATTCTTTCGATTTTATTTTTGTGTTGAATTGACTAATGAAGTAGAAGAAAAAAAAACATTTAATAATGCCATATTGTAGCAGCTAAGATTCAATAATTATTATATATATTATATCACATAATATAATTATTATATATTAAATAGACTCTTAATTCTTCATTGTATTAAGCATTATTATCTTTTACTGTATCATATACACTCCAGGGCAAAAGTCTGAAAACATTTTTCAAAAATTGATTATCCAATAATAGCACTATTTAATTATTATTTTTTATATTTTCTTGTGTATATTTTCTCTAAATAATTATTTATTGTAAATTATTTATTAATTGTTAACCAATTTACTTTTCTTCTTTTTGATTAAAAAAAATATCGGATTGGAACGAGTAAGAAAAGATTAATATTAATTTAATATTAAAGCGATTATTTTATGAATCAACGGATTGTAATTATTAGCTGTTCTATTCTTATCTTCTATTTTATATTAAATACAATATGTTTGAATAAAAATGTATTTGCATTATGTACAATGCTGGTGGAATATAAAAAGAAACGTAATAATCACGCAGATACTGTCAATAGAGAAATCCATTTGATACTGGTATTAAAAAAGGAAAAAGTACACCGGGTGGCGTTTATGGATATTCATTGAATGTTGCGTTTGCGCATTGACGTAAGAACGAGTAACGACGTGTCAACTAATTATCGCGGCGAGATAAAAGCTGTCATAATACAAAATGGCACGGCAATGATCTATGCAGCGATGATCCATAACAGCGAGATCCATATGCGCCGTCGAGGACGCATTAAAATCTCGGGTTAAATATCTTATAACGGCCGATGCTGTCACCGATCGACATCGCGGTATTAATATCAATGAGATCAATGTCACTCGTTAATCTGTGTTAGTCCAAATGTCACGGAGACGATAATTTGTTCGCAAAAATGGACACAAGGTTCTTTCGATCGAACGTAAATTTGACTTTGATATCGTTTCTCTATATCGAAAACACGCGCGCAATCTGAACTAATTTATTCGGACTTAATCAATCGCGAAATCGTATCAATATCGAAATTATACGATCTAATGTGTGATTTCGATTTTCGAAATTATTCATCTTTGAATTTTTGAAAAGATAAAAAGACGATAAAATTTTGCGATGTTTTTCGCTTTTGCAACTCGTCCTTGTCGAGTACGTTGAACTCGTTGTGTAGTTTGAAAAAAAAGAAATGTTTATCACATCGATCGATCTTTCTGATTCATCCACTATTATCTATGAGGCAGAGCGAACAGATTGATATCTGCAGGTAATTGACACGTGATATGCATTCCACGTGTGCTTGTCGCGATATCATATACGCAATATTACATGTCCGGTAATGTCCCTCGATAATTATGCGCAGCGTGCAATGTCCGATAATTGCTGAATGTTTAAACGTAAAAACGCAATTGTTTCGTGATATCAGATGCGACGCATAACAGACAAAACATGTAAAGATTATATAATGTTTTCCTCCTTGCTATTTTCCCCCACTGAATCCAAATTATTTTCGTTGCATAAGAGATAAAGAAATCGGAATTACTACAAATTATACGTACAACCATATTAGTTTTACATCTGAGCATGATGATTATTTAATTTTATTTTTCACTATAGCTCTTTGGAAAATGAAATATAATTTAATATTATGTTAATAAAATGTTATTTAAATATTTAAAAATGCATTTTTTCCGACTTATTTATTAGACGCAATTTACAGAGATTTAAACAAATTCCATCCAAACTTTAATCATCTCCCATTTATCTTTTTCTATTTTTTCTATTTCTTTAAAAAAAGTTTTTAGAAAGACAACAGTTAAAATTTATTTATTGTAATTTATTTGCTTACTAATAGCAAAATAATTATTATTTCTAAGACAAAAATGTAGCCATCAAAAAGTCTTTTGAAAAAGAAGAGATGATCTATTAATTGAATTATTTAATTTGTATTGATTGGAATTTTAGATATCTAACATTTTAATTATGAGAAACGATGAAGTTTAAAGAATATGTCTCTCTCTCTCTCTCTCTCTCTCTCTCTCTCTCTCTCTTCTTCCCCCCTCTCTCTCTGCCCCCCTCTCTCTCTCTCACTCTCTCTCTATTTTCGATTTTTCTATTTATTTTACTTACTTTGAAGCGCCCAAGGTGTGTATGTCTTAAGTGCCTCCAAATAAATTTTGCTATCGCGAACGCACTCGAAAGAAGCAAATTCTCCAAGTATAAAGGGCTTTGTAAGGACATCTGCGAGAACAACTTCGGGTCTCAATCTTTTAGCAACTCTTCCCTCCACTATGAAGATTAAGAGGAGACTCATGTACATTTTCCATTTGAACCGCATTGACTTCATTTTTCTTGAATTTTTTCCTTCTGAAAGGGTTAAAAATTGATTAAAAATTTTATGTCACTAAATTATGCAAACAGGAATTCGTCGCGTTAAAATAAACGAAAAAAATACACAAAACACGAAAACACGTGCTGACACGTGCTCCGTTGCATGCATAATGCACAAGAGCATTATTATTTTATCTTTGTTGTTTACAGAGTGTTAAACAAGGAAGTATAATAATACGTAATGCGCATTATACATACGGTCAATGTAAGGCATACGTTCAAGTAAATTTATCAAGTAAATTTATCAAGTATGCTTCCCAAGTCTTCCCTCTAGAAAAGTTAGTGCAATACTAGATCTGTTCTATTGCAGCGATGTAATAGGCTGTTCTTTTTTCTCACTTTTCTTGCTGAAGAGAAAAGAAAGAAAGATGGACTGGTGCAAAAATTCAGCTAAAAAGAACAGACCTGTCTTTCTAAAGAATCTTTCCAATTATTTAACACAAATGTAGCAAATTAATTTACATATTTTCACACGGAGAGAATATTTTTCTTAAATTTTACCTTGAAAATATGATAAGGATATTATATAATAATATTTTAAAGATTTTTACCACGCGCACTTTGGTAAAATTAATCAAACTTATTATATATTTTATTGTAGGTTTTTTATTAACAAAAGAGAAAAATTTACATAAAATTCTTCGTAATATTAGGTGTAGTAAAAAGTCATCGCATATTTTTAAAAGACATCTATCAGTAAAAACCGCAATTACTTTCTTACCAACAATATAAATATATCTTAATAGAGTAAAGTTTCAGCTTTAAAAATTTCTTTTTTAAATTATACGATACGACAATTTTTAATGGAGTTATGAGCAATTAAAGTCAAAATAATTCTTTTATTTAATCCGCGATAACTCAGTAATCAAAAGTCGTAGGAATATTTAAAAAAAACGATTTTGTAGGGAAAGTATCAAGCTTTCACGATATGTAATCGAAAATTTTCTCAAATTCGTTTTGGACACGTTACAAATCCACAAAGTGAGAAGAAAATTTTTCGTCTTTTTCAGCTCGTAGTTTTTGGTATGTAAAAATTATCAAACTCATATAAACTTAAAAAATGTGATAAGCTTTTAAAAGTAGAGATTTCAAGCTTTAAAACCCTTTTTTTAAATTTGAATTTCATTCATTATTTACGAAGATATTGTATATACAACTTGAGCTAAAAAATACGCGATGACTTTTTACTACACCTAATATATTGTATCACAACTACCATATTTTTAGGTTAAATTTTAAAGAGACAATTCTGTCCATGCAGTGTTAATAAATAATTTAATCGTTTTAAGTACATATATATATTTTGTCCCGATAACTTTACAACCTTATTTGTTAAAAAAATTAAATTATTTATTTTTTAACTGAAAATATGTATATTAATTTGCTATATTCGTATTAAGATACATTATCTTTATTTTACAATAACAACATTATTTTATCCTTGTTTATTTTATCCCTCGGATTATGATATCCATATATACACAGGGATACAAAACTTGATTTTTAACTCTGTTAACTCCGAATATTCTTTATCTTTGTTAAACATTCGATGAACAACAAGGATAAAATGATCGTCGGGTTGGCAAAGTTGAATTTAGGGTGTCTCTCAAGGCTGTTTTCAATTGCTTAAGGGGTTAATCCAATCGCATTTAATTATATCCAATTATATCCATTTAATTATCCAATCGCATTTCTCTTACAAAAAGGCATGTAAAATGTGAGTGGATAATTTTTTATGCATACGTTTATGCAGCTATGCAAGTTGTGTGGATATATCCTAACACACGTTTATGTATTGTATACACGTTTATGTATTGTATATTTATATTCATGCATAAAAAATTGTTTACTAGTTACAATGATATTTGACGTCTAAAAATCTTGAAATTTTTAAAAACTAAATAAATCAGAATATTATTGTAAAATAAGCAATTTTAACTCTTACCTAGTTATAATGTTTTTGCTATTGATTCAAGTTGTAAAGGGTACGTTTCCTTGTTCAATATTTGAAAATGATAAGGATGAAATGATGCTCGCAAGCGTTGTGAACGTTAAGTGGAACATACCCAAAATGGACAATAGAGAATATAACTAATGTGTTTTACTGAGCCATACTAAATCTGGGATCTTTCCAATTGTAAAATCACTAGACACTTTTGTGCATATGGCAAGTTGTGTTCCAATTGCCGTAATCGTCAACATAACGTACTAGCCCGAGGGCTAGTAGAGCTGTGTAGCTCTGTACATTTAATCTAACTATATTCAAAATGTACCGAAATCAGAACCGAAATCGTACACAATGTACACATTCTATTATATTTTAATTGAATCACAAGAATATACAACGCTTTGTATAAATAATTATAAACATCCTTCTTTCATTTATAAAATTTTCTTTTATGTATTTTAAAAGTAATAATAATAATGGGAAAAATCAAAATCATCAAAAATAATTAAAGGGATAATTTTTACATGTTCGTTTTAGAAAAAATAAAGTTTGGAAAAATACAAAAGAATTGCTTATATATAATTGTATATAATTGTATATAAAATTATACACAAATATATATAATGTGGCTCGAAAGAATGTATTAGTAGAAAAATGTAAAAAAGCCCATCAGAGCCTACATCAGCTATTCGGATGCACACAAATTCTTTATTTTTCGTGTGAATGTAACAAAACAAATAAAATATATGTTTCAACCCTTCGAAAACTGCGAAAATTATCCCTGTAATTATTTTTGAGGTTTCTCATATTATTATAGTACACTAAAAAGTGATTTTACAAAAAAAATGTAATACAAACATGTATGGACATATTTCATATATAATTATATATATTTATGAATATTTACACATGTTCATATGTATTTATATATACATATTTATCTATGAAAAAGTTTTTACCGGGACAACTATTATTAGAAACTAAAACCAATATCGTTATTATTAAATTAATTAGAATAATGTAATACTATAGTCTCAAAAGCACAAACACAACTTTGATTTCAACTTACACTGATCTTCCACCGTCTTTAAAGACGCTGGAGAAGAAGTTGAACTCAATACAACTGTTTTGCACAACAGTTTTGTCAGCGGAATATTAAATACTGAAAATATATGAACCCCGGTAGAACAATACAATTGCACTAAGTGTGCGCCAGTATTGCACTAGCTTTTCGAACTGTGGAAAACGTTGTGAAAACGTTTCTATTTCCACGGGAAAAATAGGTATTATATATACTCCTAATTGCGCACACTTGAAGAAGGTCACATGCTGTTGATGTGTAATTATCTCTAATAACTTCACGAAATGACACACAATTGCCATACCTTTATCTCCAATCTATTAAAAAAATTGTCTCGCACGTTATCGCGTTATTTTTAACTTACCGTAATTTCTTGCGATTCCGATGGTGTGTGTTTAATACGAGGAGGGAAAGACGGAAGTGAAAATGGCGGATTCGCCGGCTCGCGGCGGGTCGCGTGGTAGTTAGAAAGGGGCGCGCGTCTCACGTTTGTGTTTTGCGCGCGTCCTCGCACGTATAAACAGGAGAATCCGCCGCTTGTTAAAATATAAACGAAAGAAACACATAAACAAAACGCCGGTTGACTGTAGTATACACGTTCCATCGGCGCGCTGGTTCACTTATATATTGGACGAACGGATGGGGGTAAGGGAGGCATTCCGTGCTCCTCTGACCACTCGTGACCATCTCGGGTCTCCTCTTATCGATATAAGTGAAGATTACGCGTCCGCGAAGAGAAACGTTGTCGCTGCCGCCTCCACCGCCTCCACCGCCATCGAAGAGTGGGAACAACACTCGGTGTTCAACAGCGAATGTGGTCAGGAATTCGTTAATGCGAGCTAGACGGGAAGAATCTGCACAAATTTGCAGATGGACGATGATAAAATTCAACTACCGAGATCGTCTACTAAAACATAGTATTCACCATGATTGCAATCGTATAAATTGATCGCTAGCAAGTTCCAACAAATTTGATAAATTTACGACAACAAATTATAATTCTTTTTTTTTAATGAATTATTAAAAATTCTGTAAAATATAAGGTTAAATAGGGTGGGCGATGAGAAAGAAAATAAAGATTTTTATATCATATTTTAAATTTTGATAGGTACTTCCACTTCAATTGATATTTATATTTCCATCAATTAATCAATTATATTATACAAGAGTGATATGAATTGCTATCTCCTTTTATTCGAATTTTTAACTTTTCTTAACATAAGTTTGATTTTATAAATTAAAAACTAAAATAATTACGGACTCTCATACTAATAAAACAAAGGCCAAATTTCAGGTTAATAAGAGTCAGTGCGGTTAACAAAACGCAAATTTGAATATCAATAAAAAAATGTTAAAACATTATAAAAAGGACAGCTTAAGACAGCTTTATTCCATACTTGAACGTCTCGATTCGATGGAATTGTTTTCAGCAATAGAAATTTTTATCATATACTAAACTATCAAGGTACGATAAGAATTTCTATTTTTATATTGTGGAAGAAGAATTGAGTCAAAAAATTGTTAAATAATGGAATCAGGAGATATGATAATATCTCAGCGCCAAGACGTAAGCTGACTTAATTCTTTTTATAACGTTTTAACATTTATTGTACGATATTATAGTTTGCGCTTTGTTTTAACCGCGCTGACTATCATTAGTCTTTGGTCTTTGTTTCAATAATTTGATATCATTTTCTGATAAAAAATTTTTTAATGTATGAATATATATAAATATATAA